CTACTACTACCACTAGTACTACCACTACCACTACGACTACTACTACTACTACTACTACTGCTACTACTACTATGATTACTACTACTACTACTACTACTACTACCACTACTGTACTACTGCTGCTGCTGCTACAACTGCAACGTGTCCTGTTCTCCTACTCCTTGTTCTCCTGCTCCTGCTACTCCTCCACCTACTACTCCTTCTACTCCTACTTCTCCTGCTCTGACTCACTCCTTCGCATACTTCTCCTCCTACTCCTACTCCTTAGACGACGACAATGCTAATTCCAAGAAGCAGAATCTCGGAAAGTAAGGGACCCCGAGCCTATGGCCTATGTAAGCAGTCGCATCTAAGAAGGCTCACAAACGGCCTTTAAGAAAAATCGAAGCGATGTTCAGATCCCTCCGGCTGTCCCAGAAACCCGAAAGCTCCAAGGCCGTTGTTTCGGAGGACATGCCCCTTTGGCAAGGCCCTTCGGAGGGCAGCGAGGCACAGATGCAGAAGCGAGATCTAGGATGACAGTTCCGACGTTTACGGTTTTTGGCTATCCCATTCGGCTACTGTGCTAAATGCAACCAGATCTGGCGTTGGCCTTTCGAGTTAGAGGGCTTGGAGAATCGGCTGGAGAAGAGCGCGACGGATGTACTGCACTAGAACAGCTCAAGCAGGCTCCTGGGCACGTTGAAGCGTGTTTCTCTCGTGCGTTGTGCGTCGTCCTGAAGACTGCAGGCTCAGTATAAGATCCTGATCTATTTGTAACATTGACACGTGAAAGCTGGAAAGCGAATCCCATGGTTTTGTTTCTGGGGATGCTACGACTCCCTTGACGTGTGCACTTCTTGAACGCGACGCCGGCCGGCCCAAATTTAAGATTGTCTTTTGGCGCCCCGTGTGTCAGATTGTGGAGCCAGAAACACCACAAAGGCTAATTTGCTGCATAGGTGCTGTGCTTTGTTTCCGTATTTCGAGTAGCAGTCGGAATTTGGCTGACTGCCTTTTGCGCCATGGGTGGTTGTGTTGCAATTCCTCTTCCCTGCAAGAACACAACTTTGAAGGGGGAAGATGAGACGATCCAGCCGGCGAAGATGGCAGGTCGTGTTCCAGGCGTTACAGTGTCCATCGAGGCCGTCCAGATGGAGATTGCACAGAAAGGTGGCAGTCCGAGTCCACTCTTGGAGGCAGTCATGGCGGGTCGCAGTGCCGAAGCTGCCCTTGATAACTGTAACTAACAATAGTAGTAGCAATATTGTTAATGTAGCTTGCTCGCTATAATCGCACGCTGTAACACTTGTGCCCCTCTGAGAGCATCTCAGGTATGGATACGGAGTGGGCCAGGGCAATTGCCAAGAACATTGCGAAGCCAGACTACACCCTCGGGCAGTATTTCCAGGACTCGACTCTCAAGAGCAGCTTCCAAAGGATTCAAGATATGCCTGATACTGTACGGCTGAAAACCGGCTCAAGGCTTAAGATTCAACTAAGAATTGCTCCAGCTGAACTCACGCCCCTGCACCTCGAAAAGAAGCATTCGACAGGACCTGATGGCCACTTTTCCGGAGCTTCATCTGCTTCCCGGCATGAATACACACTGCAGCCTATGTTTGAACATCCGCAGTCTAAGCCCCAAGCTAATTCGCAACCCAAGGTTTGGCCTTGAAGGTATGTCGGCAGACACCATGGAGTTCAAGCGGGACTTCCTCTACGGTGGCAGAGTGGCAGGTGATGAGTTCCAGCGCACGATCGGAGCATTCTTTGCAATCTATTGGTTGGTGCGCCAGAGCGTTGATGGAAAGAACGGATTTTGCCACGGAGTGGATGACACATGGCGGCCATTGGCGTCTCGCGAAGGTGAGAGCGACAAGTGCCGTGCGTTCTATGGCGACAACACGACTCCTGGCTGCTGTTGTTTTTGTAAATCCCATCTTAAGAAGCTACTGGCTCCACCATTTTTAGCTTGAAGAGCCGCTCAGGATATGGAAGCACTTCCAGGATCTGATGATCGATGCAGGCTCGTACATCTAAAAAGAAGCCGAAGGGATTTGTGTGGCTAAAGGCATGGCCCCGGACCTCGAGTAAGCGTGAAAACATAAAGCCTGATGTTGTTTAAACCTTGAGACACTTTGATCCACCGGACGCAGTCGAGGGCTGTCTGAGGAACTGAAACTGAACATGTGCTTTGTGCAGTCTGCAAGTCATGTTGTGTATGCAGCTATGGTTGTACAGGAGGGGCTATTTATATCTAGGCACAGTGACAGAAGTGAGAGGTTACATAGGATGGAGCCTCTTCGCAAGGTTCGTCAGGGCTCTGGAGCTGCGAGTGGGTGCGTGTGCAAACAGCCAATCGCAAGCATCATCGGGTAGGATAGTGCCGGAGAAGCGGTAGGGTACATGGGTGGGCGAGTATGTGCATGAATGCGCCACGCTGAACTATTGCATGGTATGTTGTGTGTGTGTGTTCGTGCATAACTTATGTGTGTTAATGTGCATGTCAATGTGCACATGCACCCCCCCCCTCCCTCTACAACCTGGATGAGATACATGCGTGTGAGATCATCAAGCCTGTACACACTAACATGTAAGACATCCACAACCCCCTCCCCGAGTTCCCAGCGATCCGAGACTTGAAATCCCCACAGGCATTCTCGTTCAAGGCAGTGGCTCGAAGCTCGAGGTGGACTGTGAGACAACTCTCGCACTTCTGGTCCTCACCGCATTGCATGATGTCATGAAGGCTTGGGGAAGAGAAGTATCTTCTGGTTACATGACGTAGATTGTTGGGGTTTCAGGCTTCATGGTTCCTTGTTTTTCAGGTCAGCCTTTTGCTTCCGGTCGTTCAACCGCCTGATGCTCCGTACCGTGGCTATCTCAAGTCGGAGGTTGTCGGAGACCATGACATGGCAATTTTCTATTTGATCGAGCGCTACCCGGAGCTTCTGCCGTCCTTGAAGCTTGGGCTTTTAGTTCGGATGTAGTTCGATAGAGACTTTATAGAGTCATAGAGAAGATTACAGAAGAGACTGAGGTTCATGTTAATGTATGTTGACGCTCATAGTAGAGCGTTTACGTGAGTGCGAAATGTCCAGCAAGACAGAAGACAGCAAGCCTCAAGGCAAGAGTACGCATGAAGAGTGGATTGAAGAAAGTGCAATGATGATTCCTGCGGCCTCGCCTAGATTAGGGCGTGTGATTGCCATGCTTCTCTCTTTCTGACGTACTCGAAGAATCCAGGAGCAGCTTGAAGCCAGACCTTCAGTCATCGGTGCGAATGGTGCTGAGTGGTCTGGCCTTCAATAACGGATGGTTTGTGCAAGCAGAGGCCCCGCCCGGAGCAGTTCTTCGTGGGATCAAGGCTGCAATCACGTCGCAGAACAAGTCGGATCGAAAGCTAACCAAGCGCGACTTGAGTCTGTATTTTGTCCATTGGTTGACGGACTTGGCGGGAGCCGAGCCTTCCCCGTTGTTGGGATGCCTCAAGCTCACCAGTCAGCTCCCGCTTCCAGTTCTCAAGAGCTTCATGGAATCCGTGAAGCATCTTGGACTGAAGGGGGTAAGTATGGTTGTCTGGTTTTGGGTGGAGTCACAGTCCCCCAGAGTTAGACGATTGCTTTTCCGGAATCTGCTACGACCTAGGTACATCCAGCAACTGGCGGATCGGACCGAGACGGAGGCGTGTGCTGCTGTCACATCTCCTTTTCAGAAGTTCACATGACCCCCGAAGCCTATGGCTCCCCGAAAGACCAAGCCTTCTGAAAAATAATGAACACCCTGTGAATTGAGCGGCCAGACTGAGTTCAAAGATGCACGCAGCTCATGTTCACGGAAACGGGCTAAACCAAAAGCCGACGCAGAGCAGCTTGAGGTGATGGAGAGCTACCTCAAGGATCGATGGAGAAATGCCCAGCCGCCAATGGGGCCCTTGCCCAGCGGCCCCGAGGCTCTCGCGAAGACTCGGCTGCTTTGCATCTTTGGCATGCGAAGGAACCGATTACACTTACTACTACTACTACTACTACTACTCCTCCGACCACCACCACCACCACCGCCACCACCACCAATGACTACCATCACCTATGATTACTATTACTATAATTACTACTACCACACCACTACCACTACCACTACCAAGACATTGTGCCGGGAAAATAGAACAATTAATTAGAGGGTTTGGTGATTGTGCAATTTCGGTCAATCTTGGTAAAAAAACAACAACAACTACTACTACTTCTACTACTACTACTACTTCTACTACTCCTGCTACTACTACTACTGCTACTACTACTCCTGCTGCTGCTGCTGCTACTACTACTACTGCTACTACTACTACTACT